ATACGATGATCGACTGAGGAAACTGGGTTTGCCGTCTCTTGCCTTCAGACGACGAAGAGCCGATCTTATATTAGTTTATAGGATAATACACGAGGGTGTTTCGGCTGATATTGGACCTACTTTGTTTTTTTCTGGCGATGAGCGTACAAGAGGACATAACCTCAAGTTAAAAGCCTCAATTTTTCATAAAGACTGTCATAAATTCTACTTCTCAAATAGAGTGGTGGAAGATTGGAATATGCTGCCCTCGGTTGCTGTTAATGCGGATTCTCTGTCTGTTTTTAAATCGACAATTGATGATTTTTTTGGTGATATAAAGTTTAATTGGCGAGCAAACTTTTGATTTATTGTAATTGTTTAATTCTGATTGATGTCTGTAGAAAATTTCTTTAATATTTTTATTTACAGTCATTTTTCGGTTGATAATTCGAATCGAATGATGGTTTAATTATGTTTTATTTAATTTTATTCCTTTAACCTTCGGTCAATCATTTATTTTGCTTAGTTTTTTGAGTTTTGTTTTGTGATGGCAAGGGGCTTGCCCGTGCTATGAAATAATAATAATAATAATAATAATAATAATAATAATATTTATTATGGCAAGAATTCATTTTCCTTTTTCCTTCAATTGTGGTCGATTATTTTTTATTAAATTTAAATCTAATTAAATTTGCTTTGTATTTTAAAATTATTTTCAAGCCTTAACTTCAATTTTAATGAATATTTTATATATTTTCAATAAAATGTTAACTTTTGTATATTTGTCAATAGTTGCTGCATTGATTAGGTGGGTTTGGAAGCAGGAAAAATAAAGCCATCTGCTAATTTGAAAAAACTAGTACTGCAAAAATCTGAAGGTACAAATAGTAATACTTACAATAATTAAATTAGGTTTATTGTTTATTGATTGTGATAATAATTTAGAAATTAAATTGAAATATTTAATAATTATTAGTGATAATTAAATTTTGTTTATTGTTGTATATTGATAGTGATGATATTTAAAAAATTAAATTGAAATATCTAATAATGAATTGGTACATTTTTGTAGCAAATTTTGTAATGGCTGTTTAAACATTTAGGAGTTTGTTGTTAAGAAAATGTTTTTGAGAGCAACAACGATGTAGGTGCATCTGTATTTGTAACTATATGCAGATAATCAATACCCAATAGAAGCTGCTTCAGAGCAGACTAAAAATATGTTGGATACTGGTGCAAACCCAATGCTTGTAACAAATTTCCTACATCAATGAATCTTCCCTGTAACAAGACAAAATGAATATAATATGAAACAAAAAAGAGGTTTTCTATATATATTTTAATTTTTAACATGAATTCCATTGCATTTGAGATTATATTTCGTGATGCCAGGTTCACTGGAACCCCGAAAGAGAAGCTGATGGCCGTGCCTGAATTGCCTAGTCTAACAAGTGAAATTTTAGTTGATGAGAATGGTACAATCACTTGTCATTTTGTGTCCTGTTGCTATCAAGCAAGAAATCCAAGAAAAAGAAAACAGCAACTGTTCCAACAACGTAAACTTACGTTTGAAAATTGTCCGTCTGTGCAGGATCAACTCAGAATCTCATGGGTTTTACCCAAAGAAACAGCCAAAAACTGTGTTTAGACGGATTGCAGAGCTTCAATTGATGATGTTAAAGAAATAATTGATCAAAGGTGCACAGATGACCATGACCTTGAAACAATATTTTTTTGTATAAAGCTTGGGCAAAATTAAAAAATAAGATGTGGTCGATTAGACAAAATTTGTATGTTTGTGTTGTGTGTGGATATAAGCCTTGGAGAGACAACCAAACTTGTACTTCGTTGGAGCAGTGTGATGGTTGCATAAACTGGTACTACTGTTCATGTGTTGAGATAAAGACTACCGAAAGGGCCATGGTTTTGTCAACAGTGTTGATATAACAATAATGTACTTGTGTGTTTGTCTGTGTGTGTTACTATATGACACTTGATGTAATAAATTTTTTATTTTTAAAATTATCCTTCTATAACAAAATTTTGATGCAAATTTGCAGTGTTCGACTGTTCGTACTTTATATTCAACTTTGTTGTACAGACTTCACTCATTGATATTTTTACTAGACTGGTGGTGACTTTTGTACTGTCTAGATTAAACTATTGCAATTCGTTACTGTAGGAGTAGTAAATAAACTTCAATGAATCCAGAATGTTGCCGCCAGATTGGTCATTGGTCTAAGTAGACGTGATCACATTACAAAGTGGTTGGAAAGTCTCCACTGGCTACCGATCAGGGAACGAATATGATTTAAGGTGGCCGTGGTGGCCCATAGTTGTGTACATGGTGGTGGCCCAGAATATCTGAAGGAGGTTTTTCGCAAAAGAACTAAAGTTGATGTGGGAAATGCATTGCGTTCGATTTCATTAGGAATGATGGTAATTCCTAGGACCAGGAAAAAACTGAGTGACAGATGTATGCAGGTTGCTCTACCCAAGGTATGGAATGATTGAAGCCAATTGTTTCAGAAAAAGATTTCAGAAGAAAGTTAAAAAGTTATTTGTTCAACAAAGCATTTAATCACAGCACAATTCTCTGAGGAATGTCATTAGAATGAATAACATAATATCAACATCGAATTCATGCGATTCTCACCCTTTACATCATCTGAATGTTGTATCCGCTCACTGTGATTCACACTCCTTATAGCCAATGTTTCCTCTAAGCTACGCGGCTGCGCAGTAGTTTGAACAAGCTGGTGCAGCTAATTTTCCTTCCGCAGAGTAAATCAAACAACTAACTCGATATTGTAAAAATAAATGTTTTCATAATTTTTTTTTCAATTTTATATCACCAAACTTCGTATTTTCAAAATTTTTTAACTTAAGCACTGCATTGTTAGTCATATTTCGCTGCATTTATCATTGTGTTTATCTTGGTCGGAAATGTGAAAGCTTTTATCAATTGATAATAACGTAAAATCGTTTTGTAGAAAGTTTTTATAAATACCAATTAACATTATTAAACAGTTGTTTTTGCGATCTAATTTAAGTTTTCATTATGAAGCGACAATGTGATGATACCGATGGCTCATCAAAAACTAGCAAGGCTGCAAATGTTTTCAAAGAAGCTTGGTTAATTTAAAAGAAATGAAAAAAAACTGAGACTGTTGATTCAAAAGGTTTGAAAAACGTGCAATTAGAAAATATTTTTGATTTTTCAGAAGATGTTGGTTTGATTTGCAAAATATGCTTTGAAGCCAAAGCATGCAATGAATTTTCAAGTGGCAAAAAATGAAAACTGTGGAAATTAGATTGTTTGAAAAGATACATTATGCATAGAACTTGAGTCAATTACAAAATTGAAAAGAACTAAAATTAAGTGAGATGGATGTCAAGACATTTTGCAGTAAATGTACTTGTCAAAAATTACAAAGTTGCAGTCAAATATTTTAAAAATCAAACGGAGACAGAGAATGATCCGATAGCAAAATATTGCTTAAAATAATTGCAAAAACCTCAGGTTCATTTTGCTTTATTTATACTTAATGATGTATTAAGTGAGTTATTTGATTTATGTAATACATTTCAAAGAAGTTGTATATCAACCATAGAAGCAGTTCAATTTGCTAAGGCAAAGATTTTCCAAATAAATTCACAATTTTTAGAAAAAAAACAAAACTTCTTGGAGTGATGCAGTTATAACACTTTTATCAACTACAGGCTACGAAGATACAGATTTGAGAGCAATTTCGAGGTTTATTGTGTCAGCTTTTGCAGGAAAGGTTTCCAGCTGATAAATTAAAAGAATGGGTGGCGTTGGATACTCAAGCGGTTAAAAATCAAAATGATTATGAATTTTGAAAAAGAGAATTATATGTATTAGTTGAAAGATATTAAACATTTGCTTCCAGATCTCATTTGCAAAAATTCTCTCTGAATATAATGATTTTAAATTTCTTTTAAAAGAGAAACTTGAATGTGGAAATGTGAAAGCATTCAATGATGTGATTGATTTTGTGCTAATGGAAGAAAAGTTTACTAGTATAAAAACTTTTATTGATATGTCGTACTTTTCAAGCTTCAAGTGCTGATGCTGATCGTGGTTTTAGTTTGATGAATTCTATTAAAACCAAATCACGGAACAGACTTGAAATAAACCATCTGGACATGTAAATTCTAATAAAGTTTTTATTGAGTGGGCATCAAGTTGACATTGATGAAGTTTATAAATTCTGGATAATCAACAAGTGCAGAAGAGAAACTAGTGAACAAAACTTTTAACTGAATTATACATCTATTTTAATAAATATATAAATAAAACTTATTTATGTGCTTACATATTTATGTATTTGGTAGCATTTTGGTACGAATAAAGTTTTTCGACTATCACAAATTTGCTCAAACTGTTGAAATACTTGCTCAGTGAATTTAATTTTTGCACTCAGCTTGTTCTTCCTTAGAGGGAACATTGCTTATAGCATCTCAACGTCAAATTTGGCATGCAGGTTTCTCATGACTTATAATTTCTATTCTTATCTCAATGTGAATGTCAATTTCATCGTGCGATTCTCAGGCTTTGCACTGTCTAAACATTCGCCCACTCGTGATTTGCATGCTTTATAGCATATTAACTTCTAAATCATTGTGCGGGTTCCTCACAACTTATAACATCTCAACGTCTAATTTGCTGTGGGATTCCCACAACTTATAGCATTGTACCGACCAAATAGCCGGGTAGCCTATCACACTTTATAGCATTAACAGATTTCACACGCCTTATAGCATCTCATCAACGTGTTTGCCGTGTGGATTTCACACGCCTTATAGGTCTGACCTAATATTATTCATAAAAATATAAAGAAACATTTGTTTAGCAAAACTAACACTCTGCAAATTCTACATATACAAATACAATAAAATGTTGGTTCTATCTTAGAATCAACCTGAATGTTAAAGATAATGTATGATGAATCAATTCAAAAATAAATGAGGTGATGAGAATATGAAATAAAACTGACCTATAACTTTCCACATTGATTGGTGGGTAGACAAGAATCCTTTTTTAATTGCTTCGACCACCAATTCATCGTCATCGCTGTTGAAACCTTCCTGTGCTTTTATTTCATTTAAAAGATTTTCTTCTGAGAACTTAGCGGCCTCAACACCGCCATGTCCATCAAAGACTAAAAAACATACGAACGGGTGGGAATATGGTTCCGACTGATCGCCGATGTGTGTAACGATCGCGATAACATCTTCCATGTAGTTTCTGCCTCCCCGCCTAACGTCATGATAAACGTTCAGAGTTAAATTCATAATTAACTTGAAACTTTATTTTAGAGCAACTAAAACGAAACACCGTTAGATTTGATATAAACAATTGTTCCCTAAATAATAACCGGAAACTAATTTTGAAAATATCGTTTACAATTTTGAACTTCTAAAGCGCCTAATTTATTTTATTGGATTGTCATTACATAGCATCGTATATTATAGAATATCATAGCATAGAACAGGGGTGTGCAACTGGTGGCCACAACCCGGCTCGCCAAGCCGTTTTAAGTGGCTCTCGGAAATAAAATTTCTAACTGTTAATAATTGTCAATAGAAAAATTGTCATTTATCATTCACTTTACTTATAGGACAAGTGGTCCTGTCACAGACTTAGTCTTTTTGGGTCACTATAAATATCCTTGTTATGTTATGTTTATTCAATTCCGTACGTATTGAATAAAAATAAATTTCAATAAAAACAATTTATAATAAAAAAGCAATAGACAAAAATTTTCACACATTTTTAATCTTTTGTAAAAAAAAGTACCATAGTGGCGCATTTTGTTCATTAAATTCATGCGTAAATTTTCATTGGTGTTCAATTTTCTTGTCTGACAACCAGAAAATTTGTATTTTTTTCTCATACATTCTCAATAACTCAATAAAATTAAGAATAAAATTACAGATCTTGATTGTACAAAATATTCAGATCATATTAAAAAATTGCATACTGAATATAGAAATTGATTTTCAGATTTTATAAAATTTAAATATGATATAAAATTATTCTCTAAGCCATTTGATACATGGATATAAATTTGATACGACTTCTGAAATTTCTCTGGATTGTTATCGATTGGAATTGATAGATTTGCAAAATGATATGCTATGAATTCAGCTTATGACAAAAATGATCTGGTGAAATTTTTTAAAAATTATTTGCAAAAAAATTCCAAATCTGGACCAAATCTTCAAAAAAATGAGATTACTTTTTGAAAGCATATTCTGCAGGAACAGATTTTTTCAAAATGAAATTCACAAAAAATAGACAAAAAATAGATCAGAAGTCAGCTCACAGATGAAGCCAGCTCTGAGTTGCAACTGTCTCTCTTAAAACTAACGATGAATTTTGCAAATATGCAAAAGTTCAATTTTCGATTTTTTCAGTAAAAAAATAAACTAATTTGTATTTGTGTCTACATACACACACATACACAAACACACACACACACACATATATATATATATATATATATATATATATATACATATATACATATACATATACATATATATATATATATATACAGTTGTTCAAAAAATCCACCGACGATTCAGCATTAACAAGTTTTATGGTTGATTTTCTAATATTTTGAACTAGTTCTTTACAATTAAGTCTATTCAAAATGTTGAAATCCATTTTATAATCGTTTATGATTTTAATTGAAACGTAGTCATGTCATATATAAATTTTCCTGTCCAGTTGACGATTGTATGCGTCTAAAATCATCATATATCGGCATGACTACCACGGATTTATCACGGAGATTGACGATGCATAAGAGAGAAGGTGCCATTAAAACCCATCTCCTTGACAAACACAACACAACAATCACCAGAGGTATACTAAATGACAACACAACCATCATCTATAGTACCCAACAATATCAAAATCTTAAACTCGCTGAAGCCATTCTAATAGAAATGCAAAAACCTACATTGAACAACCAACAACAAATTAAAACAACTCTCCCTACGCATAGATTAATTAACAACGTCAACATTGTTGCCAATAATTTTAACGTCATCGATAATAATAATTATAATAATAATAATACTTTTAATAACAATGATGACGACGACAACAACAATACAAACAACGATAGCAACAACAACAGCAACAATAAAAAGAACAACAACTACAACAACAATAATAATAATGGTAATGATGATGATGATGATAATAATAATAATAATAATAATAATAATAATAATAATAATAATAATAATAATAATAATAATTAATAATATTATTAATAATAATAATAATAGAAACGATATTCTAATTAATTTCGCGCTTCAAATTTGTGACATTGCTGTTTGCCATCTTGACAACGGCCACGTAGCATGAACAATCGTATAATTTCAAATATTTTGTTTACTAATTTCAATGAACCTTTGCGTTTTTATTTCGTTACTTTTATTTTATTTTAATATATTAAAAAATACAACTAATTAACTATTAATAGAATTTATTTAAAATATATTGCACTGATGATGACTTTACGTCGAAATAGATCTATATGCATAATTTTAATAATAATATAAAAATAAACGATTATAAAAATGGGATCTTGCTTGATTAATTTTAACAATTAAAATCATAAACGATTATAAAATGGATTTCAACATTTTGAATAGACTTAATTGTAAAGAACTAGTTCAAAATATTAGAAAATCAACCATAAAACTTGTTAATGCTGAATCGTCGGTGGATTTTTTGAACAACTGTATAGAACTTGGTCTTCTTCCTAATATATATATATATATATATATATATATATATATATATATATATATATATATATATATATTAAACATTAAAAAGTTGACCAGCTCTGTCAATTCTCTCAGAAAAGATGTTTTCAACAAACTCAACACATTGAACGATTTGAATGCAAATATAAAGTCTGAGCTCGAGAATATCAACGCAGTAATAGAAAGTAATAAGGAAAAGTTAAACCAACTTGAGAGCTCTGATGTTTTTCGTGGTAAATTGAACATCTTGAAGAATGATATGAAAGTATCATTTGCAGATATCGTCAGTCGCGAGATTAAAAGACACACTGATAATATCAAGGCTGAAGTAAAAACAGTCCAGACGACAATAAATGATGCAAAACAAATCAAAGAAAGAGAAAATAATCTAATTATGTTTCATTTGCCTGAGAGTGGCAGTGATCGGGTGGACGTCATGAAAATTCTGAAACACCTGTCTAATAATGTTGTTGATGCTAACCTAGTTCATCTAACTAGAATCCGAAAAAAATCAGACGATCATACCCGACCGCTGCTTTTGAAAATGGATAGTGTTGACATAAAAAACGTGATAATTATAAACGTCTCTAAATTAAAATCGCTTGACGTCAGCCTGGGTCGCATCGGACTCAGTCACGATCTCTCCTCAGAACAGAGAAAGGAACTGAGGTCAAAAATAGAGGAGGCAAGGGCATTAGAAGCTTCTGACAAAGGTTTTTTATACCGTGTAAGAGGTCAGGTTGGCAAATTTCCGGTAACTCAGAGACAGACCTAGGTGTTCAACTGACGAATACTAATGATGTTGGTGGTGATGATGGCTTTCATGGTGACTCTCTGACGACAAAGAGTATTGGTAGTAGTTGTTTTGTTGGTAATGTTTGTGGGTATGATGATGGCCGTGGTGATGATATTAGAAAATATTTGATATCAAATTGTAATGTTAATGATTTTAAAAATTATGGTCATATTAGTGCAAGTGATAGAGTTAGTGGTAAAGATGGTGGTGGCAATTTTAACATAAAAGATGTTAGCTTTAATTTGAATAATAATAGTAATGTTGTTGGTGGTGAAGATTTTCGTGTTCGCAGTCTGACGCTTGGGGTTATTGGTGACGATTATTTGAATTCATCTCTCGACGGTAATAAATGTTTAATGATGAAAGGCACTGGCAATGATTTAAATGGTAATGTTAATTTTGGTTTTTGTAATGATGGTCTTGGTCTTGATGGTGGTGGTTATTCGATGGTCTGTGGTACTGGAAGCGATCTGAACGTTATTGGTAAAAATGGTTGTGGTAAAGATGATGGTAGTGATTGCGTAATAACAAATGGTACCGGTAATGATCGTAATGATAGTGGTGGTTTTAATGATCTTAAAAAAGTAGGTAATAACAATGTAATGAAAGGTGGTGCTGTTAGTAGAAATATTGGTGGAATTAAAAATGATCGGACTAATAATAACTTTTGTGTGGTTAAAATAAAATTGGGTTTACTAAATATAAGATCGATTGGCTCAAAGTACAACATCATTTATGATTTGATCAATGATGGTTTGGATATTTTTGTTGTTACAGAATCGTGGCATGGTTCATCAGAAAATCCCTCCATTGCGTTATCTACTCCTCCTGGTTACCGCTTTGTAGATTGTGTAAGAGATCACGACCCTCTCCATGGTGGATTGATAATATTTTTTCGTCTATGTTTAAAATGTAAAAAAAATAGCCTTACCTACAGTTACCACATTTGAAGTTTTGGCGGTCAGGTTCACATTTAATAGTCAGGAGTTTATTTTGCTCGCTATTTACAGACCGGGTTCTGCACAGCTGTCTGGATTATTTTTTAAAGAACTGATTTCTATTCTAGAAAACATTACAGTACTCAGTTCTCGAATTATTTTTACCGGGGACTTCAATGTGCACGTTGAAAAGACGAATGATCCTTATGCTGCTAATTTAAATGATATTGTTATAACCGTGCTACCGAACGCACTAGATTCTAGCGTATTCTAGAATGTTCTAGTGACTGGAGCATTCTAGAGTATGCTAGAATCGGACCATCTAGAAGAATCTAGAAACGACGCTTGCGAAGAGTATATAAGCGCACGTCGCAAGAAAATTAGCGGTTAGTGAAATCCGTGATTAGTGAAATTCGTGATTTTGTAAATTCGTGACTCTGTGATTTTGTGAATAGCGATTCGGTGAATTATTTAAAGCGATATTTGATTTGTTTTGTTGACGTTGTCATAGCGATAGATTTTGAACAATTTAAAAGTTAATTGTTGTGTTAATTTGAATTTGCTAGAAATAAACGATTAGTTGATTTCTTCTGTAAATAAAGTTTAATAACTAATAACTGTTTGGAGTATTTTATTCTATCAAAGATTTGAACCCGTCGCATCGTAAATCGGTTACGACAGCGAGTATTATAACATTGGTATCAGAAGTGGGATCTTCGACCAGCGAATTACTACTCATAGAAAAAGAACACGATGTCAAAACTGTGTGGTTTGAACGTGGTTCAGCTACGAGAAGAACTACAGAAACGAAGCCTTGTCACAAGTGGCAACAAAGAAGTACTAGTAGCACGTCTGAGAGAAGCTCTCATTGATAAAGGAAAGAACCCAGACGAATTCAAGTACACAGGCAGTAATTAGCACAGGCACGTTTACAACCGCTAAAATGATGGAACTTCTGCTTAGTATGTCAACTGAAATAAAACAACAGATCAAGGAACAATCCGAACGACAGACAGAGGAGTTAAAACAGATCAAAGAACAGTCCGAACGACAGTCCGAACGACAGTCCAAAAGACAGACAGAAGAGTTAAAACAACAGATTAAGGAACAGTCCGAACGACAGACAGAGGAGTTAAAACAGATCAAGGACTAGCTAAAACACGTAAAATTGGAAGTGGCAGAACAGATTGAAGAACAGTCAACAAGAATAGAAATGATCGAGCAGAAACTTGATCGTCAGACCGTTGAGGTAGATCACAAGATAGACAAATTGAAGCGAGAATTGGAGCAATTCAAAAAAATGGCCATGTCGTTAGATCACGCATCCGGAAGAACTTTGAAGGTACCAGCATTTGACGGAGAGATGTCCTGGAACGTTTATAAAACCCAGTTCGAAGCAGCGGCAACTAGTAACTGTTGGAACGGAAAAGAACGAGCAACAGCACTGATACTGGCCCTGCGAGGTTCAGCAGCAGAGAAACTTCAGACGATTCCGGCGGAGAACCACTTCAACTATGAAGTTCTGGTTAGCGCGTTGGATTTACGTTATGGTGAAGAACACATGAAACAGATTTATCGGTCTCAGCTTAGAAACAGAACGCAACGATCTGGTGAATCCATTCAGCAGCTGGCACAAGATATCGAACGGTTGACATTGCTGTCGTATCCGACATCAGACCCCGAGCATAGAGACGAAACTGCTCTGGATACGTTTATCAAAGCCCTTCGTGATTCGGAACTCAAGCAATCCCTTCTCTTGTCAGATAAACGAAAACCCAAGGATGCCGTTGCGCACAGCCTCACTTTTGAATTGGCAAAGCAGGCATCAAAAAGTGACGTACGTTTACGCCAAGTACATGAAGAATGCCCTTGCCAGAAGGTGGTTGTGAAACGCGAATCTCAACAGCATGGTGTACCTCAATGCTGGATTCGTGGTGAAAAAGGCTATCTACGTCGTGATTGTAAACACCGCCTAAAAGATAACTACTGCCGAAATTGCGCGACAAGATGGCGCAAAAGAAGAGAAGATAATCCTGTATCACGATCGGCCCCTTCTAACGAAGGGGCGGAAAACTAATAAGAGCCAACTTTGTGGGGCAGAGGTTGGCTAGTAGAATTGACGCCCCCAGTACCGTAATTAACGTTTCCAGCCTACATCGAAATCGAAACGACTTATGGCTGAACGGAAAAGTTGATCAACGAGAATGTGTAATTACAGTCGACACCGGAGCAACAAAATCGATTTTAAGATCTGATTTGGTACCCAATCTGAAGAAAGAGACTTCTAGCAAATACATCCTTCAAACAGCTACCGGAGGAACAGCACCAGTCTATGGAAAGATTCTCCGTACTGTTCAGCTAGGCGACTTGTTATTCGAAGGTTCATTTTTAGTCGCGGATATCATCGACAAATGCATAATAGGTGTCGACTTTCTGACAAAATATGGGTTCAAAATTGACTTAAAAAAACGCATTCTTAGATGGAGAAATACAGGTGATAATGGGGGATAGCGACGAAAAATGCATTCGAGTGACAGTCGATTGTGACATAGAACTACCTCAATCATCTGAAAACATCGTATGGGGCAAGTTGAATTGCGATCCTGGGGGCCACCAGTTCTATTTGATGGAGCCAACCTCAACGACAAATGTACAGAACGCGGTCATTGGAAAATGCCTGGTAGAAGCGAACAAAAATGGTCTTATTCCTGTCAGAATAATGAATACCGTTAAACACACTATTAAAATTAAAAAAGGCGAGGAAATAGGTAATTGCCAATCAATAAATTTGGTGAAATCATTAGATATGGAGCAACAGGAAAAGGTGCTACCAACTGACAAAGGTAGACTCAAAGAACTTACCAAAAATCTACTGGATGAACTTAATTTGTATCAAGAAGACCGTCTAAAAGCCGAGGCGTTGATTGCTGATTTTGCAGACGTGTTTTCAACCGGTGACAATGACCAAGGTAAAACAGCTCTGGTAACTCACCGAATTGATACTCAGGATTCGAAACCGATCCGACAAGTACCACGACGTCTTCCTCTAGCAAAACAAACAGAAGTAAACGAAATGATAACGACAATGCAGAATCAAGGCGTCATCGAACCGTCATCAAGTTCCTGGATTTCGCCAATTGTTTTGGTAAAGAAAAAAGACGGCACTACCCGTTTTTGCGTTGATTATAGGAAGTTAAATGATGTGACTAAATAGGACAGCTATCCGTTACCGAGGATTGATGACATCATGGACACCCTATCTGGCTCAAGTTGGTTCTCTACGCTTGATTTGAAAAGCGGATACTGGCAAGTAGAAATCGACAAGAACGATCGCGAAAAGACAGCGTTTTCTATCGGATCGGGGTTGTGGCAATTCACCGTCATGCCATTTGGATTGTGCAATGCTCCAGCTACATTCGAGCGACTGATGGAATGTGTATTGCAAGGTCTTAACTGAAAAACTTGTCTTGTCTATTTAGACGACATAATTGTTCTAGGAAGAACATTTGATCAACACGTCGAAAACTTACGGGAGATCTTCACAAGACTTCGGGTGGCAAATTTAAAGCTGAACGTTAAAAAGTGCAGGTTATTTTCTAAAGAAGTTAACTATTTGGGACATGTGGTATCTTCAGATGGAGTTCGAACCGATCCAGCAAGATAGAAATTGTGAAAGACTGGCCAACTCCAAAGGATAAAAATGAATTGCGCAGTTTTCTGGGATTGGCAACGTACTATCGACGTTTTGTAAAGGATTTTGCAAAAGTTGCCAGACCTCTCCACCAACTTACCGAGAAGGACCGAGTTTTCAACTGGAATACCCTATGCGACTCAGCATTTGAAAAGTTAAAAGTTGAACTATGTGATGCTCCTTTGCTAGCATATCCAGTTCGTGGCAAGACGTTTGTGTTAGATAATGATGCAAGTAACAACGGAATCGGAGCCGTTTTGTCACAGCATATAGACGGAGAAGAAAGGTGCTAGCGTATTATAGCAGAGGATTCACAAAGCCCGAACGAAACTATTGTGTGACCAGGAAGGAGTTGCTAGCAATAGTCAATGCAACAAAACACTTCTACAAGTACCTTTATGGACAGAAATTTCTTCTCCGAACTGATCATGCAGCGTTAAGATGGCTCCTCAACTTCAAGGATCTTGAAGGACAGATGGCCCGATGGTTGGAGCGTTTACAAATGTACGACTTCGAGATCGTGCACCGCAAAGGAACAACTCATAGTAATGCTGATGCTCTCTCACGTCGACCATGTTTACCAGGATGCAAATATTGCTGTCGTCACGACAGCAATATTTGTCATGAAGAGACGTTTATTTTAAACGAAAAAAAAACGCAAACGAAAATGAGATATGAATACTTCATATAGATATGGAATAAGTACTTATAATAATTAGTTATACAAATTTAAAAAACGGTTATGTTATACATACATTTGAATGAAAATTACGTGAAAGGAGGACTTTTAGCAAAATTTAATAAAGGTGGGAGGACAGAGGACAATCCTGCTAAAAGTGGACTAACTTAACCATAAGCATTCGCACTGCTTATTATCCGCACCTGCACCGCATCCGCGAAAAGGTAACCTAAATCGGCCGTCATAATGTCATGTTTAAAATTAGAAGATAGCAATACTAGAGAGCAATTTATTTATAATATAATTATAATCAGACTGCAGATAATTTGCTGAGAAGAATTCAATAAATTTTTAATTTACTAATTGAAATAACTTCTGCCAGAACAACGAGCACAAAATGAACGACGATGAGGAACTCAAACAAGCTATTTATTTATTTAATATTTATGAAGATGTTATATATATCAATCAATAGGAAACTTATAAAGCGCCAATTAAATGTTCTCAAAGGCGCTGTCGTAATTATATAAACATAGAAGTCTACAATACTATAAATAAGAAAAAAAAATTTTTTTTTTTTTAAAAACTTAACTAAATTCATCAAAGTTTAACAGTGAACAAATATGTTCTTAGTTCTTTTTTAAATGTTCTAAGGGACAGTCCGGATGATCGCAATAACTGTGGCAAGCTGTTCCACACGGTCGGACCCGCAACAGAGATACTCCGTGCACCAATCTGCAAGTGTGAAACCGGTATTGTCAACAAATTCATATCATCTGACCGTAGATGAGACGACGCAGACATTTTTTTTGAAAATTTGTTCACGAGATATTCTGGTGACATCCCATTCAGTGATTTAAACACAATTACAGCGATTTTTCAAAGTTACTCTTTTATCTATTGTTAACCAGTGTAGTTCCTCCAGGATGGGCGTCACGTGAGTAAACTTTATTCCAACAGTTACCAATTTTGCAGCGCTGTTCTGAATCGACTGAAGAAGAGTGATTGACCTTCTTGAAAGTTTATAAAACAGACTGTTGCAGTAGTCAATTCGCGATGTTATAAAAGCATGAATCAGCGTCACCAGTGCCGATCTATCCAATGAATGTCTGATCCGATATATGTTTCTTGAATAAATATTACTTGATGTATATATCTTCTTAATGTGATCTTTTATCCATAAATATAAATCGATAAAACTCAAAAATTTTATGCAATTGCAGATAATGATATCTTTACATCTCCCATCTCAACAGAACAGAAATCTAGTTTTGACAACTGCTGCCACGTATCCACCGGTAGCAATTGCGTTTTACATTCATTGAGCTTGAGCGAGTTTGATGACATCCAGTATCCAACCTCTTTCAAACACTGGACAAATCTATCAACCTCATCACGAAACGAACCTGAAGGACCAGTGACTAGAATCAGAATGTCGTCGGCAAACGCATGACTGAGGAAATGAGAGAAAATTATTTTGATTACATCTGCTGTATATATATATATATATATATATATATATATATACATACACTGGATATGACAATTTTTAAACACCCTATCCCCATGTTATTTTTTGTGGAGTTTTAATGCAAAGATCAAGAAAAATCCAATGGCAAGTGTCAACTTTAAAAAAATGTCACCCCCTTAATCAAATTTATATATATATACAATTATACATTGTACAAAATGGTTTTTTTTAATCAGAAATACAAACATACAGGTTTTAGTGTTCATTTGTCAAAAGAAATTTAATGTTAATTTTTTCAATGCTTTTGCACAATGGAAGTAAATCCTGCAGAACTTTTATTGCACGTTCAGCACAAATGTTTGACCTTTGAGTTGGGATTGGAGTCGGCTCAACCGACCAAAAAGTCCTTAAAGTCTTTATTGCCTTTGAGTGATCTTTGCAAACGGCTGCCAAATTTTTGTAGTTATCCTGATTATAAACTGACCAGAAAACCAGATGTCATTCCACGTGCCAGTAATAAAGTCACATGATGACTGACCTTCGGCTGACTGTCGAAATTCTGGAAGTAAAATATAAACTAGCAAAGCATAGATTGCTCGGCTATTCTATCCTGCATTGCTTATATTTGGCAAAGTTCTGAAATTTATTTTAGGGAAGCATCCTGTTTTCTTAAACTGTCTGTAACAAGTGATCAAGTGATGAAGGAAAGCCATATCATCTCTCCAAACAATTTCTTCTTCTTCCTTCAGAGCATCTGAATCTTGAGAACCACTGTCAGAATCTTGTTTTTCTTCTTCAGTGTTAAAATGTTCTTCATCTTTACTGCTTAAATCATCCTTAGTATCTTGACTGACTTTGCTGTTCTTCATCTTCACTGTTTAAATCATCCTTAGTATCTTGACTGACTTTGAACTCCTTGTGTATCTTCAATTGTGGTGCAGTAGCCAGCTCTACCATTTGTTGACATCTGAAGATTATAGAGGGCTTTATCTTCCTACACAACTATTCTCCATTTTCATCAGTTACGTTGAACAAGTTGGTAAAGTCTTGCGTTCCTGGTTTTCTGCTGTCTTTTTCATACTTGTTTAGTACATTCTCAGTTTTTCTTTCCACTGTAGATTTGCCTTTTTGAATTGGAAGATTCAGTTTTTCCATAAGATTTTTACTTCTTTGACCACTATCACAACTCTCTCCTGTCTACTTTTCACATTTGCAGCCAAGCACTTAAATCTGTCCAGGATATGCTGTTCTGTTGGCATTTTGTTCATTTGATCAAGACTGTCAACAATCTTTGCATACTTTTTTGAATTCTTGGCTGTTTCAAATCTCACCAAATTTGATTCCCATAGTTTCTTATTCAAATCTGAAGGAAGACTATTTTTAAACATCTTGACTATAGTCCTGTCGAATTATAATTTGAGTGTAAATTTAATTATCTACAAATAAACAAATCTTATGAGTTTAGTTTATCAAAATAAGTTTATAAAATATCAAAAGTCAGGTGATGATAACAAATATAATATATAATATGAAAGATTATGTAATAAGCATGCATACATTTAGCAAAATCACACCAGCAATAAACTGAAGCTGTGATACCTTAAACTGTACTGTATCTAACAATAGATAGATGGGAGAAAACGGTTTTCAGCTTAGGGGGGTGAACTTTTTTAAGATTCAACACTTTCAAATGGTATTTCCAGTTTTAAAATGTAATTTCTCCACTCATAGTGGCATGGGAAACCAAAAAAATTTTTTAGTCATATCTCTAATATACACACTAATATTTTAGATTAAGACTGTCAGAAATGCTACTAATGAAAATCACAGCATGTTTGACGTTAGTTAACCTCCTGTTTAGTTTTCCGATTTTTCTAATGGTTGATCGTGAATTTTTCCAAAGTTTCTTAAGTTCAAAACCAAAATTTGTGTTTATTTTATGCATGACAGAACAAAAACCTTTTTTCAGTATTCTTATACTATCTTCGGTGTTCGAATTATTAGGTTGTACCCCTATATGTAGCCAGATGCTCATATATACTGCGTCTCTCCTCCAATTCGTTGATTTCTTCTTTGTTCAAAGTAAATAATTAACGTTCATCTAATTAGTTTTACAATCTTCAACTCTGTTTAATACAACATTTTACGTGTTTTCATTATTGATGATTCCTCTGTTTCTAAATTTATTGGTAGGAAGAATTCCAATCGCCCGTTGTTGTTATATATAATATATAACATATATATATTATTATTATGATTGAAACATTTATGAAGCGCTTATTAAACGAATCTCAAAAGCGCTATCTAACAAAAACTGAACTTAACAACATAATTGAAATAACAAACAAAAAATCATAATGCATCGTACAGAATTAAGATTAAACATTTGGTCATAAACAGAAAAGTAATCGATTCAATATAACGAAAATACGAAATATAAATTTAGAACATGTCGACTAAACAGAAAGAATTGATCAATAATGCATTACAATGAAAATAAATGAGTTTTCAGTTTCTTCTTGAAATCAGGCAGGTTTAGGTCCGGATTTCTGAGAGCAGCAGCCAGGTTGTTCCAAACAGTTGGTCCAGAAACAGCAATGTTACGAGAACTTATACGGAGACTCGCTGTTGGGATCAGCAGCAGGTTTGAAACATCGGATCTCAAGTGTGCTCCAGATGCTTTTGAAGATCTCTTTTTGAACCTGTCAGACAAATAAGATGGAGCTAGACCGTCGATAGACTTGTAGACAAGTGTTGAAATTTTGAACAACTCTTTTGTCGACGGTTAGCCAATGAAGTTCCTTCAATATTGGAGACACATGGTCGTATTTTAGAGCTCCAACAACAACTTTTGCGGCTTGATTCTGTATTGATTGAAGTATAGCCATGGATCGATCAGGTAAATCATAAAACAAACTGCTGCAATAGTCGACGCGTGAGTGCACAAATGCATGAACCAACGTCTGCAATGTGGATGTATCTAGGGATCGTCGAATTTGATTGATTTTCCTGATTTGAAACATGCATTATGAAGCAGAATAAGCAAAGTCGCTTCTGGTTCAAACTTGATTGAAATTTCATGAAATTAAAAAAAAATGCAATTTTTTAAATTATTTTATGAATAATTACAATTTAATAATTCAATAATTCATAAAACTATGTGACATTCATTAAATAAAATTCTTATGATGTAATCTGTAATATCAAAAAGTTTGATGATGTAATCTGTAATCGGACACATCATTGCAAAGTAATCTGTAATTTGTAATCTCAAGCTAATTTTAAAAGTAATTTGTAATCAGATTACTTTCTAAAAGTAATCTATACAACACTATATATATATATATGTTGGTCGTACCAGTACACTACATATACATGTAGTTTAATTTTTATATACGTATGTGTGTATCGAATATATGTATGTGTACATATGGTGATAATAACACTTGTGTTAAGTATCAACGATAGATACACTTCACACATACGTTTTATAAAACACACATATGCACACCCATTTACACGGACAAAATCCGCGGAGTTTCAAGAATTTTTTTATGGTGCGGTAACCGCGGTTTCCGCATTGCGGTTATATGCTTTGAGCTCTAGTATCAATAGTATTATCGAGATTAAACTACTGTAATTCGTTCATGTATGGTGTTGGAAATGGTTAAATACTTCGGAAAATTATAGAGTTATTTTTATTTTTAGCTTTCCGTATTTCATTGTTATTGCTCCATGCGTTCATGTCAATTTTTGTTTATGGCGTTAAATTACATTAAATGATTAAACACAATAAAGGGATTTTTGTGCCTAACGTTTAACGATCTTGTCTTTCTACGGTGTAGTGGTAGTCTAAAAAAGTGCTGACGCACATTGTCTAAACATTTTTAAAATAGTAACCTGAAGGAACATTTTTTAATTTGGTCAAATTATTTTTAAATTATAGTTTTATATTATAATATTTATTTTATATTTTTTAAATCTTTTAATTATTTCATACAACGGTAAGGTTGTTAAACAAAAACAAGAAATACAAAACGACGGTTTTTTTTACTGTGCTTTTTAAAGGTATAATTTTTTGGTTCTAATTTAATTTAATTAATTTAAAAATGCCTAATTTGAGGACAAAACCGATTAAACGAAAATTGGTTGATTATGATGAGGACAAAAACAGCATGTCAGGCCTATCAACATCAAGTTATGATGCAGATGATAACAACAACCTTATGGAAGAAAATTATCCTGTACGTTTTTGCTTTTGTAATTTCAACAAATTTTTAATGTACATTGATGTGTTGAGACCTGGTATAGATGTGTATGCTTTTAAAATGGGCTATAATGTGTAAGTAAAGCATAAATACACTGCATAGAACAAAAGTTATAATATATAATATATATATATATATATGTATTATATGGTAAAACGTGAGATCAGTACTCCTATGGTATCGTCCACGTTTACTAACTATCACAATGTACTTTTAATAAATTGACTCCGCCTGTGTTGAACTGTCTAGCGCTTGATTATTTATTTATATCAAATTGAAAATAATTTAGATCATTACTATAATAATAATTTAGATCATTACTTGTCAAATATCAAAACAGAAATTTACTCATATTTTAACTTTTTTTTATTTAATGTTCACTATTTCAACTATTTGACAAGTGATGATCTAAAAAACTTATCTAATTAAATTATTTTCTATTCAACACGGGCGGAGTCAATTTATTAAAAATACATTGCGATAGTTTGTAAACATGGACGATACCATAGGAGTACCGATCTCACGTTTTACCATATTATATTTGGTGAATGTTGGTAAAAGACCATATTTAATGCAGTAATTTATGAAATGCTACCGAATTTCTAACGCATTGAAGACTAGAAATTTTGTAAATTACTGCATTAATTATGGTCTTATTAACCAATCAAAGAAACTTAACAAACAAATAAGAATGTGAGCAGCGATTGCCCCATCTTTCTCGTGAGTTAAAAGTGAAGCCCAATGCCAGAAATTCAGTAGATTTCATAATTTACTGCATATATTATTATTATATTAAATATATTTACATATTATAAATATTTCAAGTAGTACATACCATATTATATTATATACAGTGTGGTTTGGTTGCAGTCCTTCTTTTTATTCTCTTATACAAATTTTGTTAAATTAAATTCTACCCCTAGTATCATGTTATTATGTTTTTTCAGTAAGTTCTCTAACCTTTTTTTAAAAGTAACTTCTTGATTTTGTATCTAAAATAAAAATTTAAAGTTCCATGAGCCAGCCACGTTTTAGCTCATGTTTCAAAATTTTAGCAATTTTAGATTATATTCAAATTGTAAATATTTTAATTATTAATGCAAGTATTATATAGTTTATGATAGAGGATTAATTTGGTTATAAGAGTTAAATTAAAGGAATAAGGAGAATGTTTCAAAAGAAATTGTAAATTGCATAGTTGTGATGGAAGTGAGAAATTATGTTTAATTTGTTAACTGTTGTTCATATCAATTGATGAACTGGGCCTCAGTTATTTGCAATCTTCTTGCTGTGTCTAAAATTTTGCTAAAATTTTGGCAAGGTTTTGTTTTGTAATTTTTTTTATGCTTCCTTTTTGTGTGTATAAGTGGACCTGTTTTTTTTCATTAAATTACTTCCAACATTGAATTTTTAAAATTATTAAAATTTTTTTAAATTTTGTGACTTCTGAAAAATTGATGTGTTTGGAAAATGCAATCAAATTTTTCTTTTTAATGTTGACAACTTTGTGCTAGTTGATTCCAAAGTTAGTTACAGTTGGTTTTTTTATGAAATGAATACAGTTCTTATGCAATAGGGTGTTTCTTCCATGTATGAATTTTTTTTGTTAATATATTATTGCAAGAGGCATCAGAATGTGTAAAATTGTATGATAGCATGTCATTTTGAGGGTTCCATCACTCTTTGAATATGGGTAAATTTGATGTTTTTACAGACATCAAACAAAAATTTGAAAAATTCAATAATTATAATTGAAATATTTTGTTATGGATATTAATGAAATAAAACACAATAAAATCAAATAGAATCAATATTGAGACACATTTTTAAATTTATTTTTATTTCCAAAATGTCGTATTTCTGCTCTACTTTGTCAATGATTTCTAATTAAACCATCTCTTCAACTAGTTACTCGTTTTACACATTTTTCTAGTGATTGTGTGTGGCGGGGAAAGTCATCACTTTTTAAAGCTCCATCCTTCATCATGACTCTTTATCATCAAAAAACATCCTGGCAGAATATTTTCTGGCCGCACAACAAAAGTATTTGTTTCAACAACCAAATTCACAATAGACTTCAAATTGTTTAGTAAAAAACTGGAATATATCACTAGTTGAAAAATATGTTTAGTTCCATCCTTAGAAGAATTTTTTTCCTAATTAAAAACCACATGCATAAACTTTAACTAAATAATTGACCAGCAATTGCAAATTTTCTGATGGATTAAAAATACTTTTATAACATCTGAGTAAATTTAAACAGTAACCACAAATGAGCCATCTTGAATGGGCTATTTTTCCAGGTTGACGGCTTGCCAGCTCAGGGTTACAATGTCCAGTTGATACTGTTATTTCATAAAGATATTTCTGATCTGTATTTAATTCATTTGCAACATTTTTGGTAAGTCAGGCAAGTTACCGGCCACCGCATTAAAAGGTTTTATTTTCGCAATCCGCTAATTGTTTTCCAATAGATCCAGTGCGGAGTGTCAATCAATCAATCTTCGTTTTGCGTCCAGAGACCCGGTTTCCCGAGGTAGGACGTTGTTTTTTTGCCATCAACTTTTTGCGCCAAATTAGACGATCAGTTGTATCCATTTCATTTAAATTTAGAGCTTTCATGTCTTGCTCGATTGTTTGCAACCAGGACTTCTTTGGGACGTGTGCCAGGTACTTCAACATCTGCAAGAGAAGTCATGGCACTGTTTCCACTTCGTTTGACATTACCAAACCACCGCAGACGGTGTTGCCGGCATTCGTCCTTTATATCATCTAAACCAGCACGACTCAGGATTTCGGTGGATTAGATGTGGTCCTTCAGACTAATTCGTTGCCTCCATCGAAGCATTTTCATGTCGGTTCGTTGAAGTTGTTGTTCCAGTTTGGTTGTCATTGGCCATGTTTCTGCACCATATAACAACACCGGACGTATCACAGATTTATAAAGTCTTGATCTAGTGGTAGTGGGATGTCACGCCGCATCAATATAGAAGCATGGAGATGCCATTTATTCCAGGCTGCACGTATGCGTGCTCGAACAGCAGCTTAAGCTGTTCCAGTACAATCCAGAACATCTCCTAGATATTGAAACGATGTGACTTTCTCTACCTTAATGGCTTCAAAAACAGTGCTATTTAGAATTTGTTGTTGTGGATTGATGCGAGCAGGACAAACAAAATTGGACACTTTAGATAAAGTACCAATTATTTTTGAACAACGTTTGTGACACCACTGGTTACACTACTGACACTTGATTGAATTGTTATCTACACCAGTTTACAAACTGAACAGGGCCATCGTCCATTAGCTGTGGATTGGGTGGGTTCACCAGTGTTCATTGCTTTGGTTTTGCTGATGTTGACTTTGAATCCATGATCGGCGAGTCTGGTGTTCCAATCTTCAAACATCTGTGCTGCATTCTGCTCAGATGTGGCTGTTAAAACGATATCATCAGCATATACTAGATTCCAAATGTCACTAGTGCTTATCGGTTTTGTGATTTCTTCCATCAGTTATAAATAACGGTGGACTGAGAATCGAGCCTTGGTGAACTCCAACGCCGATGTCACATGCATCTGTGTTTCCAACAGTTGTGCTGACAAGAGTCTTAGTATTCGTATACATTTCCATCACAAGTCGAACAAGATATTCTGGAATGAGTTGTCGACGTAGACTCCACCTGATTGCTTCACGGGGAACTCGATCAAATGCTTTTTCAAGGTCTACAAAAATGTGTGATAGTTGTTGATGCTTTGCGAGGTACTTCTCTTGCAGTTGCCGAAGGATGTGAATTGCATCAATTGTTAATTTCCCCGATAGGAAACCAAATTGATAATTTCCGATTGTGATGCACGACGTTAATCTTCTCTCAATGATTTTCTCGATAATTTTAAGGGAGTGTTCTAACAGACGTATACCCCGATATGAGGAACAGTTCAATGGATCACCTTTGCCTTTGTATAGCGGGACTGTCATGCTATAGTTCCATTCAATCGGCATTGAGCAATTTCTCCAAATTTCAGGGCAAAGTTGTAGTAACGTTTGGATACCTGCAGTACCAGATGCTTTGATAATGTCATTTGTGAGCCCAGAGGGCCCTGCTGCCTTTCCATCCTTCATAGCTTTCAGTGCTTCTTTAAGCTCCTCAGTGATGTCTGGAATCGGACCTTCGAGCGTCAAAGTTAACATTGATGGGATTTGTTTCGTTTAACAGACGGTTGAAGTATTCTCTCCACTGTAGCTTGATCTCATCTTGTTAAGAACCATCTCATTTTTGTCATTTTTAATACATGAGGCGCCAACTATGTCTTTTTTTTGTACGCTTTGCTTGTTTTGCTATACGATACAGAGATTTCATTTGTTCACCTTTGCTTTTAGTGAGCCACTCTTTGCATTGATCTGTCCGAGCCAGTGCAACTTGACGTCTTGCATAGTTGTTCTTCTCACGGAAAATTTTATGGTCATCAACAGACTTTGATTTTTGCCATTGCTTGTATGCAACTTTCTTTTCAGCTATTGCATTTTGTACACTGTCATTCCACCACCAAGTGTCCCGTTCATGCTGACGTTTTGTACCAGTTTTCCCACAAACTGTAGTTGCAGCGTTCATCAAAACGGTTTTGTATGTACTCCAATCTGTACTGGCTTGCGATTGGTGGTCTAACTGTGTGGCGACAATCTGTTGAAATTTTTCTCAATGAACATTGCTTTTCAGCTTCCACGTTTTGATTCTCCGAGGCATTTGTTTAGACTTATGTTTTGACAGTTCGACAACCAGGTCTGCCACAAGAAGTCTATGTTGGGCGACACATGATTCGCCAGGTATAACTTTGACGTTTTTGAATAGCCTTCGGTGTTGTTGCTTGACAACGAAGAAAGCAATTTGCGTGGCTGATGGTCCACTTTTGTTTGTTATGAGATGTTCCAACCTCTTTGTAAAGTATGTATTCAGTAAACAAAACCCGTGACTTTCAGCAAACTCAAGGATGCGGTTGCCATCTTCATTCCGTTTTCTATAGCCAAAACCGCCATGTACGTTGTCAAAACCATCTGTTTTCTCTTCAACGTGGCCATTGAGATCGCCTCCAATCAGGATTGTTTCAGATTTTGGTATTGTTGAGATGGTGTCAGAGAATGCAGTCCAGAAGTCATTTTTCATTTCTTCTAATTCGCCTGTCTGTGGTGCGTATGCAGAAAAAATAATCATTGTTTGCTTTTCTATGCGAAGCTTGATCCACATGAGACGTGAATTAATCCTTTTAATATCCAGTACTTCTTGGGCTAGCGGTTCTCTGACAAAAATTCCAACACCATTTTTGGCCGTCTTTTGACCATTCCAGAATAGTTTATATTTTTCTTTGTCTGAGTTAACATGACAGAAACCATTCGATTTCCATCGGGTTTCCTGAAGGCAGCAGATATCAATCCTTCTACGCTCGAGCATTTCTGCGATTTCCATGCTGCGGCCAGTCAGTGATCCAACATTGAGCGTTCCAAGTCTAAGTACCATAGAGGGGCCATTCTGAATTTGTCTGCAACATCCCTCCGCCATTGCATACTTCCCAGAGATTCTTGGCATCCTTGACCACTTAAGGCCTGCTGGGGACTAGGGGCCGTTGTTTTTCTTTGTGATGGCATAAGAGTAATTTGGGGAAAAATTTTTACATACGGACACCCATCTTGACCACAACCACCAGTTATAAGCGGTGGGCCTAGCCTTTTCCTCAAAAGCACGCAAGGCAGCGTGGATGCAGTTTTATGTCATGCCCAGTGTCATAATTTCACCTTATTATCTCTAGTAAATAGAAAATACTTTAGTGCATGGTGTGTCCAACAAAGATCCAATGACCTTAAACTGAATATTGCCATGTCTTTTCGCCTGTTACTTTTTTTCAAATGAATAATAATTTTATAATCTATGATTATTAAAAAAATTGAATTTTTAAAAAAGGTATTTTCATATCATTGTCCTTGGTAAACACAAATCCGTAGTGTAGAATGTACGTGGGAGCAAATTTGCCATTTATACTGATACATTAAAGTTTATAGAAATGCATATATTATGCTTCACGATTACTTTGATAATTTGTTCTACATAGAATAATGTTTTGATTTTTTTCAGGTAGAAGACTTCAAAGTGTTGAAAAATTTAAATCTTTCAACAGATGAATTACTGTCACTTACTGTAGGCGAGTTAAACAAAAAGATGAAAAATGTCAATGTATCCCAGGTTAAAGAAGTGAAACAGTTGAGAAGAACACTCAAGAACAGAGGGTATGCTGCCATATGCAGAAACAAAAGAGTTGAACAAATAGGCAAATTGGAAGCTGAAAAAAAATCCTTGCAGAAAGAAATTAGTACATTGAAACAAGAAAAAAATGGCCAAGTTAAAGTTTACAATGAACTTGTACGGCAATATAATAACATGAAAAAAAATTTACCAAAGCACGAGTCTGACATGAATCTTTTTGTGCAAGTTGTTCCACAGAGTTGACACATGAAAAAATATTATATGTACATTTTATTTTGCTTGTCATTGAAATTCTATAAATTAATTGTTTATATTGAATTAAACTACTGCATCGGATAAGCCTATTGGCAAAATCGAAGCTGCTTTGTCAGATAACTTGTAATGTGCTGTAGCCTTTTTTAACCTTCCATGAATGGCTGTTTTAGAAATTGTTGTTACCTGAAATTTACAGTTGTATTGTTTTTAAAGTTAAGTTGTTAATAAGGAGATCATCTTCTTTTTTATGTGCATAATTAAAAAGAGCTACCTCTCCAGAAACTTCTTTACAGAATCCTGTGTTTAATGGCTCTGTAATTATCAGCTGATCAAATGAGTGAGCAAAATCATTGAATAACAACTGTATATCTTCATCATTGCAGGAGGTATGTGTATTTAATACAAAATAAGCATTGTTTTCTTTTGATAATCGTTGGACGTAATTTATAAATGCACGTAAAGTTTTCATTGAGAACCCCAACATTACCAAAGTTGATATGTCATCAATGACTATTGCTTTTTTGTCATCAAATGATTTCAAATCACTACTAACCTTGTTATAAAAAGTTTTCAATATTTCTTCATTGGGCACTATTTCCTAGCAAAGAATAATGTGAATATTTATCAGTGATGAAAGTTTGCAACTAGTTTCAGCAGTCTAATATGAAAATGCAAAACAAATTTATCAGTGTAGAAAATAGAGCAAAGCAAAGCAATGAACATTGGTGAACCCTGGACGATGGCCCTGTTCAGTTTGTAAACTGGTGTAGATAACAATTCAATCAAGTGTCAGTAGTGTAACCAGTGGTGTCACAAACGTTGTTCAAAAATAATTGGTACTTTATCTAAAGTGTCCAATTTTGTTTGTCCTGCTCGCATCAATCCACAACAACAAATTCGAAATAGCAATGTTTTTGAAGCCATTAAGGTAGAGAGTCACATCGTTTCAATATCTAGGGGATGTTCTAAATTGCACTGGAACAGCTGAAGCTGCCGTTCGAGCACCCATACGTGCAGCCTGGAATAAATGACATCTCCTTGCCTCTATATTGATGCGGCATGACATCACATTACCACTACGATCAAGATTTTATAAATCTATACGTCCGGTGTTGTTATATGGTGCAGAAACATGGCCAATGACAACCAAACTGGAACAACAAATTCACCGAACCGATATGAAAATGCTCCGATGGATGCAACGAATTAGTCTGAAGGACATCAAATCTACCAAAATTCTGCGTCGTGCTGGTTTAGATGATATAAAGGACGAATGCCGGCAACACCGTCTGCGGTGGTTTGGTCATGTCAAACGAAGTGGAAACAGTGCCATGACTTCTCTTGCAGATGCTGAAGTACCTGGCACACGTCTCAAAGGCCGTCCAAAGAAATCCTGGTCGCAAACAATCGAGCAAGACATAAAAGCTCTAAATTTAAATGAAATGGATAAAACTGATCGTCTAATTTGGCGCAAAAAGTTGATGGCAAAGAAAACAACGTCCTACCTCGGGGGAACTGGGTCTCTGGAAGCTAAACAGATTGATTGATTGATAGTGTAAAAAATAGAGCAACAAAATTTTAAAAGAAAATGGAAATGAATGCCACTAATGAAAGGTCCGAGAAATGTTAAAAAACAAAGTCGTTGATGAAGTTGGACATTAAACTGACCCTCACTGACTTGTGAGTGATGTTGGATCATCAAAGGCTAGGCCCACCGCTTATAACTGTGGTTGCGTAAGGAAGGGCGTCCTGCGTAAAAATTAGCCAAATAAATTACTTATGATGACAGAAGTGACAATGGCCCTCAGTATCCGGCAAAATGGCGTCGAGGGATATTTCGGTTTCATCATAGGTAGCCAAACGGCAACCCCCGATCTCGGGGAAAATGTCGTCTAAACGTGTGTTGTTGTTTGTTGTTGTTGATGAAGTTGGATATGCTTAAATTGTTAATCATGTGGAATATAATAAATGGATTAGACCTAGCAGCTTATGCAGGTTTTTGCAATTTTGGTATAACAGGGAGATCGAACGGCGTCTCTCCCATTGGATCAAATGGAGGAAATTTTAAGTTGTTCTGGATTGGCCAAAAAACAGCTCAAAATGATGTCGGGATCTTCATTGGTTCAAGATGTGTTGGAAATAATTGATGTGGATTAAGATCCGAGTAGAAAAACAAATATTGACCGTTTTTTCTGCCTACACATCACAGACGGGTGAATCTGAAGATGTCAAAAAAAAACTTCTGGAACATGCTCTCAGATGCCATCAGGAGGGTACCATCATTTTGATTGGTGGAGATCTCGACAGTCGCGCTAAAGAGAAAATAAATTGGTTCCGTGGTTTGCATGGAGTTTTTGGTCATGGGTCTCAGAATGAAGATGGTGTTTGAATCCTCGAGTTTGCTGAAGGTCACGAATTCTCCATGGTTGACACCTACCTATTTCAGGAAGAGGACAAAACATCTGATCACGGACAAAAGTTGGATGTCATGCACGCAAACTGACTTCATAGTTGTCAGGCAATAACACAGACGACTATTTAGGAGCAACAAAGTCATTTTAGGTGAAACATGCATCCCTCAGCATAAACTTCTTGTGGCTGATATGATCGTGGAACGGTTGAGTCTTGTGGCTGGTAGGGCACTTCGTAAAATCAAGACGTGGAAATTGTAAAACGCCATGCTTTGGGAAAAATTTCAGGATTTTGCAAGCAGGCACAACTTGGAAATCTTTCCTGGCTGTTCTGATGAATGCTATAACAACAGTATGTGGGAAATCTGGTGTGAGACATCAACACGATTGCAAAACTTGGTGGTGGAATTAAGTGGTATAAAATGCTATTGCCACATTCTAACAATGACAGTAGACAAAAAGACTGATGGAAATTGCAAAATCTACCACATGAAGAACAGGAAGCAAAATGTTAGGTCGCGCTGGCTCATGCTAATAAATGCAGGGAATGGCTGCCAAAATGCAGAGATAAACAAATAGAGTCACTGTATCGAATAACAAAGCATCCATAGAGATCATTTACTTAGCACCTGCCACGACTGGGTTAGGATTTTTTGCAAAAAATGTAGAAATTTATCTAATAATTTGCACTATAATAAACTATCATGGCAGTTAATTTCAAACCAATGAGTGCAACGTTAAAGTTAGTTGAGAAATAGGATGATGTTGTGGCAATAATGACAGTTCCTCACTAATTTAGGAATATAAAAATCATTTGATGAAGGTAAATTCAGAAGTATTCTCCATGCCATTAAGAAAATGCCAACTTGTTTTATAAATGCTTTGATATAATGTAAGTGCTCTAAATTGAAATGAAATAGATACAACTGATCGTCTAATTTGGTGCAAAAAGTTGATGGCAAAGAAAACAACGTCCTACCTCAGGGGAACCAGGTCTCTGGACGTTAAACGAAGATTGATTGAATATCAGTGCACACAGCTGGTTATGTTATAATCTACACAACCATCTTCCAACAATTACTTCTAAATCAATTTGTTTAGAAAGTTTTTTTAAAAGAAAAGCAATAAGACACAGCAGAAGACACTATTTTTTGAAAACAGTGCCTCATTAAAATAAATGTTGGCAGTTGTAAAAAAGATTTTAGAACAAATTTAAATGCCACCAATTAACACTAAGGTAGAAATAAGAAACTCAGTGCTATCTATATTTTATATTTCCCAAACCCAGACATTTGCTTATTCAAAGAAATAACTATGAAAATATAAAATTAGAACATAACTATGTTGCTATGTCTTTATGAACATGAAGATGTGACATGATTAAAGAACAGTCATTATATACAGTGAAATATAATGACACACCAATAAATGGCTGGATTTCAGACAGGGTAGGTACAAAACAAAGATGATGTAACTTTAAACTATTTGTTAAATAAAAAACAAATCAGAAAGAAAAAGAATTGCAAACTTTTAAATATAGGCTAGCAACTTTTAATTTAAGGGTTTTCACTTCTTTGTTGCCTGGAACACCCACACACACACAATCATACATGCACATTTCATGTTTGATATCATCAAGTCCATAGAATTTAAATTTAAAGGAATGTCAATTTTCAATTAAAAATTAATATATTAATAACCAGCTCATGATCTGTTTATTTATGCTTTTAATTTAGATTAGATATTTAAAATAGCCTAATTATAATATAAATGTAAAATAAAAATTGTAAAAAAATTGTTGAAAATTTTACTTTTGAAAAATATTGTTGGGAAAGAGATTCCATGGCATTAACAAAAATGAACTTGTTTTCCGTTTGAATGCTCATCAGATTCAATGAATTTTTGCTTGCAATATTTGAATAATGATTGAACGATTGGGTCGAACTTAGCATCCACAGTGAAAACTTATTCCTGAGAAAATAGATAAGAAAGTGATGCAAGGCGAAAAGATCAACGTTGTTTTTTCCCTGTATTAAAATTTTACGAATATTCACATTTTTCTCCAAGTCCAAAAAATTTTCAAAGGTTAGCGGCATTTTTTTTTCTTCGAAGTTAGTTAAGACTTAAGAGACCAGCACTAGATCACATTAGCTCTGCTTTTTTCCGAATTCACTTTTAAAAAGAAAAGTAGACTTATAAGACTGAAGCTAGCCACACCACGAATATTTATATATATATACGAGCACATAATTAGAATGACTAGAATAAATAACTAGTATCCGAACCACACCGGCTGGCTTATAAATTATGCGAGGAGAGATCGTGAAAAAAAGAGATGCCTCAATGTATGTTATCGGAAGCAGTATAGATATATAGTATATTTAAATTGGGTTATTATTATTTTGTTAAATTATCTGGATGTGAGCATATGGGTCTGGCCTGTGCTCAAGATTTTTTTTTCTTATTTACTTAACTGATCAATCATTTAGATTTAAATAGTCTAATTTCTAGGGATTTAACTGGGATCAATCCGATATTCGCAAAACAAACAATTATGGTAAAAAATAATACAAAAAATAATTAAACAACATTAAGTAAAAAACGAAATAAAATAAAAATATTATAATATAAATGAAAGTAAAAACCATGCATAAAAATTTGATGAACCAAAACTATTCAAAGCATTTAAATAGCAAGTATCACTAAACTAGCGGATTGGTTAACAGAATCAAAGATTTGCACATTTATGTATATAAGTCTCAATCTAAATTATTTTCTAAGTACTTATCAGATATTTTAATTAAACCAATACGCCTCGGTTTACGATTGTCTTCTTGTTCTCACTACTTTTTAACTCGTGTTAAACACTTTTTTGCTAAATCTGCATTGGCTTTTTTCGACTCTTTTCTTTGAAACTATCTACCTCCTTCTCTGACTACTTCTCCATCGCTTTATTCGAGCTTGGGATTAATTGGGATTAGGTCGAGAATAAAAAATTGTTTAATCCTGAAAATGGAACTCAACAGCAGTAATATGGAAACGTAGCTTTTTTCTAAAGACCTCTTGTCTTAATTAACTAAAAATGTTATTGATGATTGTAAATACTTTTTTACCAGTTGAAGTTGTTTCACATTATGATACTAATAACTTTTTATTATACACTTTAATAATAGAAGTTGAATTATTGAGATAACTGATTTATGTACTTTAAAAGAATTATGTATTTAAAAATTATTTCAACTAAATATTTGTAATGTTCTAGTAAGACTCCAATAACGATAGAAAAAAGACATCCCTGTTCAATTTTTAAAACTCAGCCCTGTTAAGCGACATTAACATTTTTAAAATAATACTTATAAATGCTTGGTGACTATTGTATAGCATGGTTGAATATCAACAAACGTAAAATGTTTGATTTATATATTACATTATTTTTTAAATCGTCATCTAAAATGAATATTTTGAATATAAAAATAATTTAATACTTATTACGGTGTTTTTAGTGTCAGGAAGTGTTCTTTTAGTTATTTTCAACTGTAACTTTAACGAAATAAGAAAGCATATCATATATCAATTAAGAATTATTTAAAACGATTAAAATCTTTAATTAATAAACTATGAAAATGTAAAAATTGTAACATTTGATAAATTTGATGCAGGGGATGCCTGTCAAGCACGACCATAATTACACCAAAAAAAGATACTAAATACGCATAAGCATTATGCAAATGCATGAAATAAATCAATTAAAAATAATTAAAATAAATACAAATTTTAAAAATGAATAAATATTTTTTTCTTTATTTTTCGTACCTTATCCTTTCAGGACATTGGCGAAGTCGATGGTCCACTTATAATGAGTTTATTAATATTTATTAATAAACTTTAAAACTGTGAAAATTGTAATATTTGATGAGATTGAAGAATAATTGTTCATGAAAACTGAAGAATAAAACCAGACTATAAAGCGCACTAAAAATGTGCGCTGGTGCGTTCGAGGGTCAGTATAGGCATTCCAAGTGTATGCATATCAATGAGCGGCTGATAATACAATACACAAGCGTGCCGTAATAGTTCAGAACTAGAATTGTGAATATCATATGTGTTTAAATTTTTATATACGTTGTACAAAATAATAAACTCAAATGCTTTTCCTCGACAAATTAATAAATCATAGTTATAAAATATAAATTATGAAATTATTTCAACTTTAATTAGAATGTATAAAACACAAAAATATACATAAGAACTCTTTTATTCAAAGCCAGGGTAATAAATAATTAAAAATATAAAATGGTAAAATAATGAAATGTCAAAATAAAACCACTTTGCTCAATTCAAAATAAAAATACAAAGCGGTGAAATATATCTAAATTTATATCATAAATTGTTTCTGTCGCAATAAATGCCGTATGATAACCTTATAACAGTCTCTATCAACTCATCATTAAAAGAAACCGGTAGTCAAAGGAGGTGGTAGAGAGTTCCAGGGAAAAGGGCCAGAAAAAGCAAATGCTGATTTAGCAAAAAATCAATCTTAGATAACACTAACAAAGTAACAAGAAGGAGAAGAGTAGGATCGTCAAGAAAAGGTAAAAGTTTTTTCGTTCTACGTAAATGAAAGTAAGAACTTTTAACAACACTATTAATATGAGAAGAAAGAGACATACTAGAATAAAAAAAAGTTTTTTAGGCTGTTTCAGATATTATTTTAAAGTTAACCGCACTAATTATGATGGATGTGTGAGTCCGACATTCAGTTTTTCAAGCCAAATAAAAAAATTCTGTAAGACAATACTATTGTAAAACAATGAAAATGAAGGAATAGCGGCCTTGGTGTTATCTATATATTATTTTTAACCAAGAAAACACAAATTTAGTTCAATTTATATGAATTAATTAAAACAATGTCGCCGTTTGAAAAATCTTGGCTTTAATAATCAGGGAGATGCCTGTCAAACACGACGATCTCAAATTAGCGTGACTATATGATACCAGAAAACAGATGCTAAATATGCTAAAATATTATGCAAATGCTTAAAATAGATCAATTAAAAAATGATTGAAATAAATAAAAATTAAGCAAAAAACAAATGTAAATTATTAATAAACTATAGAAACGCGAGAATTTTAAAACTTGATAAATTTCATGGAAGCTAAAGAACGAAGCCAGACTCTAAAGCGCACTGAAAATGTGCACGGGTGTATTCTAGGGACAATATAGATCATCTAAAAACGCAAATTTAAGTTATCTACCTATTTCTGCGTCTTCCGTTTTGTGGAAACCTTACGTTTAAAATAAAGTTCGTCTGCAGATTCAAATTAATTTTCACCATTTTCACATGCTGGATAATGTTTTTGTTCGTACTAATCGCTAATCAAGTTTGGTTTTTTCTCAGAATTTATTAGTTTAAGCTTTCAAGTCACTGGTGTAACTCGACTGGAGGTTTGGCCGCCCTCTACTTTTTTAATGTTTAATTTTATTTTTTATTTAATCTGTTAGTTAAAATTTTAAACTAACTAAAATAAACAGTACTGATTACTTTAATCTCTACTGCTCACTACTGACTTAACATAACGTAACGTAATGATAAAATGTAAATGGGATCAGATCGAAGATTCTTAGTGATATAAAATTGTTAAATAATCCAAAATGAAGTAGAAAAAATTAGTAAAGACAAAAGTTAAAAAGTAAAGTAAATGTTAATTATCCAAAGTAAAATAAACATCATTCAATCACTGATCGTGATCATATAGATAGTATAGACTTATAGAGTATTAGAGTATAGATAGACACATTCATTATTGGTATTGTCTTTTATAAAAGAATCAAATCCTATTTGATTCACATTATCAACATTTACAACATGATTTGGTAGATCATTCCATGGTGGCTCCATCTATCCCAATGGAGAAATAATTCTTTCTGAGGTTCTTTGAAAAAAAACATTCAGTTTCAAATAAGAATGTGTATAATGTTAATTACTTCTCAGTCTCACATCTTCATGCTTTGCTGCTTTGGATTACACTAGTTTCTGTTTTTCATCATTGTGCACGTTTTCTGTATAATAGACAGGACAGTTGCAGAAATTTCAACTCTGTGTACATTTCTCATATCATCATCAACCACGATGTTTATATATATATACGGTTTAGCATCATCTGCATAAATTATTACCTTTAACAAACTATATGGATTTTCAAGACAGCATGGATTTGTTAGGGGAAGGTTAGGTTAACTTTAACAACTATTCACATAAATAAATAATAAAAAAATTGATCTTAATACACCACCCAGGGGCACACCTTTAGTCACAGCCAAACAGTCAGACCATTTATCATTCATTCTAAAACATGATTTTACTTTTTTTAAGTAACCAAATCATTTTCCACTTCATATTCTATTAATTTTTTATGAGACACCTCATCAAAAATAGTTTCAAAATTTGTGTGCATAGCATCAACGCTTTAACCTTTCATTCATCAATTTCAATAACGGAATTATAGTTGACCTTCACCTAACTAATCCATGCTGTCTGAAAATCCATTAGTTTATTAGTTTTGCAACAAATACACGTTAAGAATGCAGACATATAATTACTAACATTGCACTTGTCACAATTTGTATGAACTGGAGTAATCAACCCAATTCTCCAAGCATCAAGAATTAGTTAATTTTTAAGAATTCATTATATAAATTACAAAAATATCAGAAACTGTATATTTACACATTTTCAAAACTTTGCAAAATATATTTATTCTTATTGCCTAGGTCTGCTGATTTACACTTAAATTATCAATTTGTTTAATAATATCATCCCAAGATAAATTGGAATTTTTTATTTTAAACACATTTTCTTGTAATATACGCATCAATTTCTTCAGGAATATCATTGGTATAAACAGTTTTAAAAACTTGAGCCAGACAATTTGATTTTTTAAAGTTGGTGAACACAAGTTTTTTATTTCCATCATTTTCATTAAAATAATTTCAATTTTTTAAGTCTGCAATTATGTTGCAAAAAAATTTTATTGTTATTTTCAATTTAGCTTTCTGCAAAGTTTCGTTCTCAATCTTTGAAATGTTTCTATTTATTGTTTCTTTTGCATATCAAGTTGAGTTTGTTTCAACAAATTTTTTCCATTATTAATTTTTCAACTTGATTAGATTGATTATG